GTTCAATGTCTTGCTCAAGGACACTTCCACATGTGGACTGGAGAAGCCAGGAATGGAGCCACCAACCTTCCAGTTAGGAGACAACCCGGTCTACCTCCTGAGCCACTGCCACACCCATAATGATGATTATGATGATTCCTGAATGTATTTTTTCAGTAAACATACACCCATGTATTGAAATGTTTTCAAGTATTAAGACCCTGAAGGCCAGATAGCTGAATGTTATCCAAGGTCAATAACTCTCAATGATAATTCCCTGGCCAAATATGTATTTTGGCAAGCAGAGAGCAATTCATGCTTCATGAACTGGCAAGCTGTAGCTGCTATCTGAAACTCTCAGTGCAGTCTGTTTTCCAGGCCTTGAAATCACATTAAAACCCAATAGTTATGCAAGAGAAGGGTGGTGATGAGTGATTTGCTCATTAGTCCAAGAACTCTTTGGTTCAGATTATAGAACTTTGGTCAGTTACTTAAACTAAAAATATATCATAAGCACATTTCTAAAAGTAGACATGTTTGTAACTACTAAAAGCTAGTGGGGCTAAGAAAGACATTCTCAAAAGAAAAGTAAACATAGTTGTGGAGTAATGTCATATGGATGCAAAATGCTGGTGATCCATATGTCTCTGGCTTTTAGTGCAGCAGTTTTTGTCCATAAAGGCCTGAATACCAGAAGCTCACTGAAGTCGGCCACTACATGGTGTTTTAACAATTTAGATTAGTGAATCAATAAGTACTGTCCAACAAAATGAGGTGATTTTAGTCAACCACATATAACCATGGAATTCCCAATTCAATACACTGTGCCAGTGACTACTGCCTTATACTGTACCTGCCCCGGAGTAAAATATTATCTGGGTCATTTATGTCGTCCACATCAACAGGTTAATTTAATAGGTTCTATTATCTAATTATTATCTATTAGCAGTCTTTAGCGGTAACTGCACTTCACTTAATTTCACACTATTGCACAGAATAGTGTGTGATCTGTTTGTAATGACCACTTACAGTATGTCATTGTCTGGGAGTCCATTAGCCTGTGTAAAACTTAATTAATTTAGTGAGTTCAGAAATTTCTTCTTGGCATAAGTCCAGTCTTTCTTGTTTTAGTAATTAATTTTTTCATGGGAGTAATTGTAATGGACTTGACCACTTTTAATGAAGTATGCAGACATGAAAAATTATCTCAATCTTTTTTTTTTTTTCTTCACCTCACAATTCCACAGAGATATATAGAGGGGAACTTTATTTTACGCAAGTAAGGACTGAGTTAAAGGGACAGATTGCAGGTCCTTTATGTACTTTACATTAGTGACTATATATTTAGTTTATCAGTACTCCACAAAGAAAGTGAACTGTATTATTTTCAGTGTGTTCTTTTCAGTAAAGTGTTGAAGCTCATCATGATGATTAAGATGGATTTCTGATAGATTAGCTGGAATTAGTTTATTTCATCTGCTGCTGTTTACTGTGTGAATCCTGCAATGTCAAGTAACATAAACAAAAGACATGGACAACAAAAGGACATGAGTTGTATTCTCAGTGTCATTTTGTACATCGTTAATACAAATAATATGGTGCTGCTTTTTTGCCATATTGATCATCTATCTTAAGAGCATTTTAAATGGTAACAGATACAGTGTTGTATGCACAATACACAGGGGTTTACTGTACATGTCCTTGATTCAGGTCTAATTGTAAAAATGAAGTGCAAAAAGCCCTGCAGGCTCTTAATACTTAAATAAATGTTAGTGTAATGGTAGGTCATTCAGTTGCAAAGAAACTAGAATGAGTGACTAGGGATCGGTTCTCCTGTCTGTTTTAGCTATGGAAATGCCATGCACTTTCAATAAAAAGACTTTCAACAATCTTGGAAGTGGAGGGCAAGCAAACCATTGGTACCATTAGCATGTAGAACCACAGGATATGTAGATATTAAGTTTTTCAGGCACTCACATTAGTTGTTTAGTACACTTTGCACAACTGAATTGTTAGGGTCCAGAATTTTGATCTCAGCAGTGTCCGCCTGTACCGAGTTTGACACTTCAGCATTTCGGGTGCTTGTTAATACAAACTTTACATTTTCCCATCAAGATGCTACGAAGCAGTGTTCATTTGTCTGAATTATCTATATTTCTGTTTGCAGCAATGAATAATTTTGTAATTTAATAAATTATTATATTTAATAGTTATTAGAAATTACAGTAAATAAATTATTAAATTTAAATGTTATTAGAAATTACAGTATGCCATGTGGCACTATCTTAATTGTTCTTTAATACCTCTTGGGATTGCAAATTTCTTCAAAGACCTCCAACTCAATCAAAATAAAATAGTCCTAAAATGTCAAACTTAGAAGTCTTGCTCTCTGAGTTCATGTTTTATGCTTCATGTTCTGAGTTTGCTTTTCATGATTATACACAGCACAGCCCTGCTTCACTATAAATAAATTGGGCTACATGTGAAGGGATTTATCAAGTCTTATGGTTTAGTCATATTATCACTGGAGGTGTTATTAGATACTAGATGTGGCCACTGTGTCAGGGAGTAACTGCTTTCATTAACAATGCAAAGAAATATCATCCAGTAAGAATACCCAAAAAGGAAAGGAGCCTCTGAATAGTGTATTAGCAAGCATGACACGTGAAATGGCTGCAGTGTGAATGTTTACAAAGAAGCGAGGAATATTAGATACTTGTGTTTGGAGAGATGTGTCATGATCTTCTGAACATTTACTCCTGTGCACCGTGTGCAGGAACATAGGATCCTATTAGCCAGGCTTCAGTGCGACTCCCCAGATAATCATTTTTCTCTCTATTTTTCTCATTGTTGGTTGAGTTAATGCTCAGAAGATCAGGTGCTCACATGGAAGAAAGCCACTTGGGCAGATGACAAAGGAGTAATGATATAATTGCTTTAAATGCTAAATTTGGATTCTGTTGTTGCACTTCTGCATTTTGAAATAATTTACAGTTGAACTGAGGTTTAAAATTAATTTTTGCTACGCGATGTATCTTGTGACTTATGTACTTATTTAACCAAGCAAAAGAATACTGTATTTAATTTTACACTTTGGTGGTGAAATGTTGTTTTTTGGTTCAGATTGACAATGTTGATGCTGTTTATCTATGTGGGCAGACACTTAAATATGGCCACTACATAATCAGGTTGGGAGTTTGTTGTTAGTAGCTTTTTCATCAGTGGTTTTGTTTTGTCATATAATACGCCATTGCATGTATATTCAAGATTTTACTGAATTAGAAGTAAAGAGGTATTATCAAGTAATGTATTAAAAGTAAAAGTACTTAGCCACCACAAATGACAATTTGTGGATTGTTAGTATTAATGCATGCTGCTGTGAATGTTAACAGCAATGTGGTGACAGAATGTTAACAGTCTGTCACCACATCCTGATGTATGAGCGACAGCTAATTGTGGTTAGATTCCTTTACTTTCTACAATAAATGGCAAACACAACGCTGAGTGTGCAGGAGCTGCTGGTGGCTCAGTAATACTCACAGTTGTGCTTTTGAGCACTTACTGTGCAGTAGATGCATGTTCAGGTCATGACAGAATAGGAAAGTGTGTCCTGTATCTGTTATCAAAGAGTTTGAGAAATGTTTTTCTATCCTAAAAAAATGTTTTACCTATTCAAAATGTCTATTTTATGTTCTTATTATATGATCTACATTAATTGCTTTATTAACAGCATTGCCTCTCTCAGCTCCTGAATGTGTTTGATTGTCACCTACTATGTGATTAACCATATGTAAATCATCTTAGTTCAGGGACACACCCAACTTAAAAAAAAAAAAATTAACATCCAGTAGGAAACGATGGCAAGCTCGACTAACTAGCTTCTACTTTCCAAGTGGAAAGCCTTTAGCCTAGCTTGCTAGCTTCCACTATTTGTGGGAAATTCAAAGTTGATGAAGGATCCTCCTAAATGCAGAAAGTTGGAAATAAAAAGTGTCTTAAAATGCTAACGGTACATAACCAACACTATATGGACCTTGTTAAAAATGTACAAGAAAGTAGCAATGTTTGTAAGTTATACAGCCTAATGTTCCATAGTCAGTAATGCATGAGGTGACAGTCAGTAATCCTGACTCTTAGATGTCAGTCAACCATTGTCTTGGGAAAACCCACCCAAAAGCATGAAGCTTAGCCACAATTTCTATAATTTTAATAATTTTATACTCTTCCAAAAAAATTAAAGATTTTGCACAATAACTACACAGTCATTATAGTTTATTTGTCCTCAGCTCAGATTTAAGGGATGTTAAAAGGCATTTGTTTTAAAGTTTTATCTTTAAATGTCAGTGTTAGGCTGTATAAGTTCTAAGTACACAATTACAGGCAAATATAATAAGAGAAATAGAATAGATGTGCTTGTCTCATAGTGAAATGTTGTGCCTAAAATGGAACATACTCGAGATAATTTGAAGCGAATGAAGCTTCTTTCAATATAATGTTACACAATATTCAATTGTAGGCCCATAGGCAAGCTACCTCGGTGGACAAATAAATTGTTTCAGTGAGAAGCTAATGCGTCTGGGAATAATGGTGGGTGATCAGGATGACAATGTATACTAGGGCGTGTGTGTGTGTGTGTGTGTGTGTGTGTGTGTGTCTAAAACTTATGAATATTTTGTTACAGTATGCAATCAGAACCTTTACATTAATCATTCATAGTCCTCTTGGCCCATTATTTCTGCTTTTAAATTATTAATGCTTTGGACTGACTTTCTTCACATAATCAAGTTCCTATTGTTGGCTGCTTTACATTGCTCCTGTATATGACGACAGAGACATAAAATAAGACATTAATACAACAACAGCACTTTGAGTAGATTTATCCTCTTGTGGTTATGCGTTTGAATACTTTAGTCTGGTTTAGAGTGTAGGAAAAGACATAAGATACTGTAAATGTCTGCATAATGACCCAGCCGTGTCCTTTCTACCCCTCCCTCCTCTCCCCAAACCATCCATCTATCTAGAGTTTTTCTTGGAGCTGCTGGACAATTCTGAGAAGTCTCTCAACAGTATGTTCACAAGGACATATGGGAAGCTGTATATGCAGAATTTAGAGGTGTTCCAGGACCTGTTCACAGAGCTTAAGCGCTACTACACGGGGGGCAACGTCAACCTGGAGGAGATGCTGAATGACTTCTGGTCCAGGCTGCTGGAGCGGATGTTCCAGTTACTCAACTCTCAGTACCACTTCACAGATGACTACCTGGAGTGTGTCAGTAAATACACAGATCAGCTAAAGCCCTTTGGAGATGTGCCCAGGAAACTGAAGGCCCAAGTCACCAGGGCCTTCATCGCTGCACGGACGTTTGTCCAAGGACTAATGGTGGGTCGGGAGGTCGCCAACAGGGTCGCCAAGGTGAGCTTAATTTTCTTCTCGTATCTGTTTTGACTGTGGTTGTGCTGCTTTATTGTTAAGTGATCCTGTGCTGTTGAGCAATGTTATTTTGGTTTATGATAAAGTAATAAGTCTACAATAGAATGTTGCTCTTCTATAACACTGTATTGTTTTCATGAGGTCACATATTGTGTAACATTCTAATGGATGTTAAATTGCACACAAGAAAAACATGGTGGAAAGAAGATATTTAATCATTCATATTGATCCTCTAACCTGCTGTACTGTGTATATACTCTACCCAAGTACTGTATATACACAGTACAGTACTTATGGCCTGCTCTTTCTTATGTTCTTTGAAATCATGAAATCATACTCCTTTAGAATTAGACCACATTGGATCTGAATTTTTTATTAAAAGCTCAGAAAAAATGAGACAACATTTTTTCCATATAAACATCATTTTTTTGGTCTTGATCTCTTGGTGTGGGGACCAGTCAGTGTGATGCATTTTTAACTACGGGTGCAGGACACTCTACATGGTGCACATTGCAGTAGAATCGCCTGCAGAGAGAAAAGCTTTGAAGAAGAGGAGAGATTTAAATGCATGTCCACTAAGACTTCTGATGTGTTTTTGTGTCTCTCTTTGCTATTCACATATTTTTCATTTTTGACAGAAACATAAAATTGGTGACATTTTCAAAGCTGACAGTTAATTTGATGATAATAATAATGTTTTTCTTTACAGTTATTTGTGGATTGTTTTGTGAAACTGGTTGACTGGCTGAAAAAATAAATACGTCTTAGAGCGTTGGAGATTGGAAATGTGTTTTTAAAGGCTTAGTGGATTAAACACAACAGTTTATTATGGACAGCTGAATGCTAAAAAGATAAACATATATACCAAACGTATAACTAAAGCTACTCTGCTTTATGAAATATATGAAGAAAGACTGGCAGGAATGATAACTAGTAACCAGTTATTCACATTCAATAGTGGGTTTCCTGGATAAACAGTGGTTGTAAAGGTGTCAGGTGTGAGCTTAGAATGCCTAAATTAAAGTTTTAGTTCTTTCCCCTCAGTTATATCCATCACCAACATGTATTACATTTTATTTTGTTGGATTTGAGTTTTTAAAAGACAATTTAAAGCCAAATAGAGCATTTATGAACTTGAAGACAAATAATTTGCATGCTGTCTTAAAGATGTCGATCTCGGTAGACATAAATATATTTTACAATACTTATTCATCTACCAATTTCATCCAGTTACTGAAAGATCATATTGAGTCTTTCAGTCTGGCAGCTTGCTGACCCTACAGAAATCACTATTCTTCACTTGCAATTAGACACAAATGATAAAAACCTGTTTTGTTTTTTTTTATGAGCTCAATCGTCAGTTTTAAAAATGTCTTCAGAGTTCAGCAGTGATATAATTTCTTTTTAGCTCAAAGCTCTGTGTTCACCGTGGGGGACAAATTGTCTGAAAAGGAAAGAAGAGAAGAAGCAAGAGCAAGAGTGAGAGGCCAAAAAATAAATGTGCTCAGCTTGAGAACAAGTTTAATTATTCTTATGTTGGAGGTTTAAGCAAACCTCTGTTATACACTGGCCTCGAGACAAAGACAAATCATCGAAAATGACTATATCTATACTATATATACTATATCAGAATATAGGTGAATTATATGACTACATGTGAATAAGAAAATGCTGTTTCAGCAAAAACTATGCAGTCAACAATCACAAAGGCTACAGCTAACAATTTTTATTAATCACATTAATCTGCTGTTATTTTCTCACGTGGTCGCCAATCCATCGCAGGGCTAACACATAGACAAACAACCACACACACGCACATGCACTCCTATGGGCAATTTAGAGACACCAATCAACCTAAGCTGCATGTCTTTGGACTGTGGGAGGAAGCCAGAGTACCCGGAGAGAACCCACGCAAGCACGGGGAGAACATGCAAACTCCACACAGAAAGGTCCCAGGTGGGGCCCGAACCGTGCTGCCGTGATTGATTTAGTTTATGAAATACAAAGAGTAGCAAATAAGAGAAAAGCACTTTTATTTATTCATTAATTTATTTAATTCATTTATTTGTTTTGGAATTTTTGCTCAAATCAGATTTAGACTTTATTCACCAAGGATGTGGAATTAAAATAGTATTAAAAATTAGAAATTGTACCGTGATAGTACACACACCAAAATACTATATCGTACCGTATGGCAGCAGGGTACGGTAGAATCAGGCTTTTTAAAATGTTTATTATTATCATTTAGTTTACCACTGAGCGAGCTTTCCACCAGTTGTCAGCAGCAGACCAAATGAAGACTTAAAATGCACACCTCTATACATCTGTCCAAGGCTTAAAGAGGCACTGTCAGTCTGGATCACATCCTGTATTCCCCGCTTGCTCATCAATTATGAAGTGGAGTCAGGAAACAGAGTGGCATTTCTGAAGGCTGTCAGGATGGTCAACAATCATAGGACTCAAGGTGAAAAGTTTCTTGAAATGACAAATCACCTTGACCTAAGAGTTGTCCTCAGTACCTGCTGCTTTCAGAGACAAACAGCCACTTGAGTTTTCTCACCACACTGTCTTAAAAGCTCATTCCAATTGTCACTTCTTTGTTGTAGGCACAGGACAGTAAACCAGGCTCCTTCTGTTCATTGTCATATCCTTAAGCAACAAGGATGTGCAGTGTATGCATTATAGTAGAGTGTTACATTTATGTGGTGTTACTTGCTGCAATTACAGTAATATTTCTTCAGATATCAGTGTTTTGACGTTTAATCATTCAGCTGTTTGTGTTGGCAGATCAGTCATCAGCAAACAGTGGTCAGACAATATAGTGCTGCAGCGATTAGTAGATTGATTATTTGATCAACACAAAATTAACCTACAAGTATTTTTGATAAATGATTAGTAATTTAAGCTGTTTTTTTAGCAAAAATTGAATCATTCTGAGGTTACAACTTGTCAAATGTGAGGTTTTGCCGCTTTTCAATATTTTAAAGCATTTTAGAATAAATATCTTTGGGTGCTGGACTGTTGGACTGGCAACGCTTGCAGCTGTTTGACATGTTACAGACCAAACAATCAATTAATAATTAAAATAACTGTTACTTGCAGTCCCAGTTCAGTGTGTTACATTGTATAATTTAATGTAGTGCATTATTATTCCTAATGCATTGAGGTCCAGCAGAATTTAATCTATAGCTCATCTGATTTTATTACACAATCGTCCTTAGCAGATTGGGTGTGCACAGTTGTCTTGGAATTTTTAAAACCTCCACTTCTTTTTCTGAGCTTTGAGGATTTTTTTTTCTGTCCATGTTGAGATTTAACGATCACTGTTGACCTTGTCCTCCTTTCTTGACCTTCCCCAGCTGCTTATTTTATCTACTGTCTGTTGGGATAGTGTCCTGTATATCATAACAATACATCCTATGTTGTAAGTTTATTTTATGTTATATAAAATGTACCATATATGAGAAGTGTAGTAATACGGTAGTAAATACATGTAGTGTAATACAACATTTGCTTTCAAAATGTAGTATTAGTATGCAGTACTGTAGCATAGAATATAAATACTTAAGTACTCAGTACTAGTGTAACTACATTAAGGTACTTTGCACAGGAATTAGGGTCCAAAATGAATGCCAGATATGTACAGTAGTAATTACTAGTTCTGCATAATCCCTGTTTGAGTCCGTGTGGAAGACAGGCAGATGTTACAGTGGTTGTGTGGTTTGATAATTTGGCAATTTAATGATATGTTATCTCATTATGTTCCATTATTCTTATTTCTCCACGGCTGAATAATTTGAAAAAGAAAGTCATTGTATAAAGATCTACAATGCTAATTATCTTTTTGAGAAATGAGAAAATGCCCACTAGTCTGAGATAGCATTATAAAATCTTACAGAAAATAGTATCTTGTCTGCTACAGTTCTTTAGTCAAAATTAAATGTGGAGTGTTTGGTGCATACAGAGCATGGCCCCCAGTGAGCTGCTAGAGCTATCATTAAAGCTCTTGTTCAAATAACCAAAACACTTGTAAAATTCACAAAACCTAGGAGTCTAAAATTACTAAATGTCCCCTTTTTTATGAAATGGCTGCTTTCAACCATTTGTGTTTCTCATGTTACTTTAACACAGAACGATGCACTGATGATTATGAGGCATGCATATTTACTACTTAAGGGCAGCTCTGTATGCAGGGATGTCAGATGTTGCACCATAAAATGGCATCACACTCAGCTTGCACTGAACAGTTTCCTGGACCTCGATCCTGGATTAAGAGCGGGATCTCTCTGGATTACAGTTTATGATGACCACTCAGAGTTTTATCCCGGGGGTACTTAAAACACAGTCCAACCACATTAAGACCTGCTCAGAGAAGATTGCATGGATTTGGACCTTTTGAACAATTTAAAGTTCAAGCATTTAGAGCACTTATCACTCACTCTTCATATGCATGGAAAGATGGCCTAGCCCATGGTGCATATTTAGTCATGATGATGGAAGGATGTAGGTATTTATCACTAAGGGATTTGTTTTTTTCTGATGGCTTACACTGTCATGTGGATCTCATTATGCACTCATTTCCTACCCCAAACTGTCAGATATTTTAACATTAAACTCTGAGGCAGTTTCTGATCTTTACTCAACATTTATCTTGGATTAATGTTTTGCCAGATTGCTGAGCCTTTGCTGACATGTAACAAATACCAGCATCATCATCTTGGGTGTCTTTCCTACTTGATGTACTCACCACTCACTGGCACAATAAATTGTGTCCAACACTTACTAGTACAGGCTCAGACAAACATGTTTGCATGAGTCAGTACTTTTGAATTTACCAAAAATAAATGGGACAAAAGTGATGTAAGCAAAGTTGACTAACACACTTGTGTGCTGCTTTTTTATTTAATCAGAGAAAATCGATTGAAACTATAATGTTCACTTATTTTTTTTACTTTATTGTGCTAATTTCCTGTCATCTACTA